AGTCCTGAGTTAGAGTCTCTGTCATTTACTCACTGTGGTTTTATGGCAGAGGTTCAGTTTCTGTGGCTTTGAGTTTGAATGAAATCCATTCGTTTATAATAATGAATTACTGAGATTAAATAAGATGGTTGGTTATGTCACACTGCTGTCCAACGAAGTGAATGACATAAAATTGTTTCATCCAGGCAGGCTCAAGTAAAACAAATAATTGGGACTGGGGAGTATGGCTGCAGTCTACTGTCAAGCACTTCGTCATGAATTGTTAGGGCCTTTTCCCTTAGAATAAAATTACCTTTGATATCTATGCAAGAGGAAACAATATGTATGCATATATTGGCATGTTTGTATGTGTACTGCCTATAGGTGTTACTGTTAAGTTACATCATGAATAAGCTTGTAGCTGTTAGTATTTATCCTTATAATGAATTACACCTGCTCCAAGCTGCTTACAGAAATAACTTGCCTAGATAACATAGAAATGAAGAAGTCCAGTATTTCAGGAGGTGGCAGATAAAAAGGCAGGCAAACTATTGACCCCTTCAAGAAAGCTTAAATCAGAAGCTGGGCGTGGTGCACATGCCTTAAATCCCAGCACTTGGGGGCAGAGGCAGACAATCTCTGTGAGATTGAGGCCAGCTTGTTCTACAGAGTGAGTTCCAGACCAGCTGGGGCTACAAGTAAACCCTGTCTCAAAAAAAAAAAAAAAAAAAAAAAAAAAAAAAAAAAAAAAAAAAAACATTTTAAAAAAAAAAAAAAAAAAAAAAAAAAAAAAAAAACAAACAAAAAATCAAAATCATTTTCCTCAGGAAATTGGACATGAATGGTTGGAGCATTGCGATTTTCTGAGAAATAAACTCAACAAGTTGACTAGAATCTAGTTCATCATTACAAACAGAAGATGGTACTCTAATGTTTGTAAGAGAGATCTTTAGCTGCATACAGCTCTCAGAGTTTGGGGGATGTATTTTCACATTCATGATAGAGGGCTTGAACATTTTCCTAATTTGGGGGGAAGATCACATAAGTTACTGCCTGTTTCATAAGTTACTGGTGTTTCAGGGTGTTTACTGTCTCTTTTAGGCCTGTTACTTTTAAAGTTCACCCAGCCCTATAAGAAAAAGTTCTATACAAATAGGAAATCATCACATTAGCTTTCTAGACTTTCTTTTAGTTGAGTTTGTGATAAACATTTGACCACACTTCTGAACAATTCATTCAGTAAGTTGCTTTAACAACATTAACCTAGGATCAGCTGGTGTAAATATAAAAATATTCTAGTAGTCAAATAAAGACATCTAGGACTTGCTGCTTGTACTTGTGTGACCCTCCCTCTCCTAGCACATATGTGAACCTCTCCAAAGAACCATGATTTTAGAACTTATGCCCCTTATTGTTTTCATTAAGATTCATCACTTCTTAAGTATGGTTTGATTTATATTCTGTTCACTTCAAAGCAAAGTGCTTGGTAAGTAGAAGCACAAGACGACTTGTCATACATTGTCCAAAGAATGCTGAGCAGGGTGCCTCCCACAATATGCAACATGCTGTCTCTGTGTGGTGCGGCTTCCTAAATGGCTCTCAGTCCTGTCCAGAACCTTGCTAATCCCTGGTTTATGCTGATTTTCAGGCCCTCAAAGGAGAGCTCCCAGATACTGCTCTTCTGCTATAGTGGCTCAATGTTTTCATCCCTGTTCTGTTCAGAGGTGTTGCCTATGTTGCCAATAATGACACTGCTGTTTTTGAACTTCACTGGCTTTACAGTATTCAGGACGAATAAGACAGCAAGAAAGGATATAAGAACTACACATGCTGCAAATAAAACTGATGGGACTTGGATTAAAGCACCCTGTAAGGACCATCATCAGAATTCAGTTCAGAACCCAACTATCTCAGTTCAACATGGGACATGCTCTAAGATGAAATCATACAGTACTGGCCCCAGGCCACAGCACAGTCTTCCTATTCCAGTTACAATCCTCTGGGCAGCCCCTCTCTGACCTGATTCGTCATTCCTTGATATGAGTAGAAGGCATGAGACTATAGCATTAGTGCCTCCTGGGCAAGATATAAGGTAAAGAATTTTTTTTAATTTTTGTTTTTTTTTTATTTTATGTTTATGTGTGTATTGCCTACATGTAGATAAGTGCACCTGTGTCACACAATGTCCATGGAGATAAGAAGAGGCTGTCAATTCCCTGAGACTGGAGTTACAGACAGTTGTTAGCTACCATGTGGGTGCTGGGATTCGAACCCAGGTCTTCTGCAAGAACAACCACTGTTCTTAACCACTGAGCTATCTCTCCAGCCCCCAGGTAAAGAATTTTTTCTTTCTCTTTTGGTGACTTATTCCCACTTAGTCCTTAGGCATTTGTGAGTAGCCATTCTTAAGAGAGAAGTTTCCTTACGCAGCAGATTATAATTAACACAGAAACCCACAACTGGCAAATATGCAGAGAATGAGAGGCTACAGAATGCTTCTTTCTAAATAGGATACCTGTTTCAAACTTCTGCCTCCCCAGATTCAGGGATCATTGTGGAAGAGGGGACAGAAAGATTGCAAGAGCCAGAGGTGGTAAATGACCACAAAGAAACAGAGTTTTCCAGAAAGCTGATCAGTTACTCATAAGAATCCACACCAATGGTGACAGTGTACACAATTCCCATGTAAGGTCAAACCAGACAAAAACAACAACAAAAAAGACATGGGGAAGTGGATAAAGAGTCCCAACTCAACCTAAGGAACTATTGGCAACTGGTGCGAGAGATAGTCTTACAGGTATAGGACTCTTGGTAGGTGAGCCACAGGCTCCAGTGAATGGACCCATGCTGAAGGAAATGTGGGGACAAAAATCAGACTCTACAGGCTGTATTGTAGTGGAGCACATTGAATTGGGCAAAAAGCATTGGGGGGAGGAGCAGATGGAGGAACGGATCTAAGTAAAGTACCATCAAATTATGCTGTATGAAAATTGCAAAAATTCATTTAAAGAGCAACTTTAAAGAAAAAAATAGCATGGTGTCAGGGGGCTATCGATGTTGTCCAAAGGTCACATGAAAACCTAGTTTCCTCTACTTCCTATGCTTGCTGAAAATGACCATTAATAATGACCGGTGATCACCATTACTGGGTAAAGGAAATCTTTCAAACTCTAATCATGTTGAACTAGCACCTCAGATTCTTGGATTTTGTGTCCTGATTAGATACAATGTGATTTACAGAAGAAAATAAATGGTATCAAGGCTGAACCCAGGTACTAGAGCAGGAGGAAGATGTTTGAGGTCAGCCTTGGCACCATACTATGATCCTGTCTCAAAGCGAAACAGCAGCCATGAAACATCGTAATGGCAGCAAAGAAGCAAATGCACTTCTAGAAAACATTTTCACAGTGAACATTTCGTAAGAGAGGATGAGAGTCCAGACAGAAGTGGAGCTAATGCCCCAGTTTACACTGATGATGCATTCTCCTGTCCCCACACCTACTACTCTACTTTTCCCAGCCAACATTCTCCAACCTTAACCATAATGTAGCATGAGTTTGATTTCAGCTATTCTGTAAGTCTATTTACCTGATTTTAAATCTTAAAGTCATTTGCATATCAAATTGATTCCTGAAACATGCAAATTAATGAAGCTCAGTTTCCTAAGTGTCTTGCTAACTTTTGTGGACAAAGAAAACTTTACAGATTTGCATGTATTTTCTACACAGTAAAGGGACCATTAACTAGGGCCTACCTTTAACAAAGCACTCCTGTGAAAGTTTCTTAAATATGAAATACATGTATTTATTTGTAACGGTTTTAATATTTTGATGGGTGTTGTGTAACTTTTGTATTTATGAATGTAATGAAAGTATTGACAGAAAAAAGATATATTTTTTATGAAGAATTATGTACTGACTGAATAAAGTTAGAAGGAAATATATTTTGTAGCTTGTTCTGCATTGGAGAGTGATAGCATGTCTTTACTAAGCTGTTGGTTTTTAGGTGAAACCTCCTAATGCATGATAAATTTGCAATGGATACTTTGAAAAATAAAGTGCTTGATGAAGCACTTTAGGGATTACAAATTATCCCACCTTCCAGTCCTTCAATCTCTCTACTAGGTTCCAAGGACTCTGAACTCTCTTCATGTGGGTTAATCTGGTTTCCCATCACAGTGAATGGGCGGTACTGAATGAAGTCTCATTCACTGAGCAAGTGATTGGTGCAAAGGTGAAAACATGCCAACATTTAAGCAAGTATTAGATTAATTTAATGCTAAGTATCCAGAATCCAGCCATGCATTTGCTTATATCTTTAACTCAACTGGGTTTTCTATGGTTGAGAAAATGCTTTTTTCCACTTCTATTCCATTTATTTTCAGTGTGTGTGCGTGCGCATGTGCGCGTGTGTTGCACACATTTGTGCATTGGCTCGTGATGCCACAGCATGTATAAGGAAGTTGGAGGAAACTTATGGGAGTCAGTTCTCTCCTTCTACTTTAGGTTCTAGGATTAAACATGCCCTCAGGCTGTGCAAACACGTTTACCTCCTGAGCCCCTCTTGCTGGTCCTTACGTAATTTTTTTTAAAGATAGCTAATTCAATAACATCTACTATGAACTTCTGATGAAACAATCTAGATAAATTTCCTTGTCAAAATATATGCAAAATAAGTTCAGACGTGTAAGCGTAATTCCAGGGAGGAGTCTAGTCCTCGTCAACACCCTAGATTGTCTCTATTTGATTAGTATTTCCTGGCAGCAAAAAAAGCTTTGTAATGTGTTTATTTAGACATCTGTAAATATTAACATTTATTCTGTTACATTTTTCTTTGTATGGAAAGAAATTTCTGGTTATCGGTCTGCTATGTGCAATTTAATTATAGCATTTAACAATTAAAGGGATGGCACACACTATTGAATAATCACATAGAGCTGAATCAGTATAGGAAGAATGTAAAGCAAACCATTGTTTACAAATTGAGTAAGAGACATTTTTAAAGTTTCACAATTCTTTTACCTCTTGAAATAACTGTTTCTAGCCCTGTTCCATTAATGAAAGCCCGTGTTATGGTTTGTGTTTTGATATCCGTCCAGTACAAACGTTCTTCAGAGGCATCAAAGTCTATCACGGCAACATCATCAATATCTGGGACAGTGAAAGCAGTGATGAAGTTAACGTATGGATTGTCAATGTCCACTCCTCGGATTTCTGAGCGTCTTGCATAAAGAAGGAATTTCTTCATTTCTAGGAAAAGAAAGTAGATTGTTCTTTTTACTTATATAATTTACAAATCTAAAACAGTCTAGAAATTCTAAAATATTAACTTTTAATGACAAACATTTTACCTCAGGAAATAATATTAATATTTGATGGAAATGCTGTATATATCATCTATATAAGGTATTTAGTACAAATAGATGTAACACAAGTTAAAAATCCTTAAGTCATAATTATTAGTTTGAAGGGCCAAGAAAGTCTCAGTAATTGATTTTATCTCAGAATTGCAACAAACTTGCTAAACCCATGTACTCAACAAATGCCAAAGAACCATATTTGATTTATGTCTATAATTAAAATAATATTGCCTTAAAATACATATACAATAAATATATGAGTGCATGTGTATAGGTGAAGGTTATATAACAAAAAACATAGTGCCAGGCTACAGAGAAACTTCCCTTCCAGTTGTTGGTCAGGGTAGCCCAAGAGACTCCCAAATTCACAAAGGCCATTGCCAAGTCTCCTCCCTGAAGACTAGCTCCCATGGTATCAGAGAATATGATACAGGCTGCCAAGGTAGAAAAGCAATCAATGGTCCTACCCAACTATAAAGCCTAATAAACAACAACGATTGTCCTAGCAGAACTCACTATTAGTGCAGTAACGGCACTTTTATCTTGGGGATTATCGGTAGCTGTCTAATTGGAATTAAAGCCTGCTCAGTGGGAAGGAACTCATGTGTGGTAATTTAAACATATCCACATACACATGGCAGGAAAGGTAATAGATTCTAGAGACAAACCTACTTTTGCCACATCCCTAAACCAAGTTGATTTCTTACTCTAAGTAGGCATCCTCATATTTACAGACAAGTGTGCCTTTCACCAATCATCAAAAAAGCATGTTTTCCAACAGATAGAGACTATTACAGTTACAGAACTGGTCAAACATAAATTTGTCTGTGATAAATTCAACCCTAAGTGGCACATCTACAATGCAACTTTTACACACAGGATGAAAGCATCTCTCAACTCCCAACAAACAAGTTTCCTTATGTAGTGGAAGGTGGTTAACACAGAAACCTAAAATTGGCCAATGAATGTGCAGAGAACAAGAGGCTGCAGAGTGCTCCTCCCTGAATAGGACACCTGTTTCAAACTTCTGCTTCCCAAGGCTCAGGCATCATTGTGGAAGAACAGGTATAAAGATTGTAAGAGCCAGAAGAGGTGGATGGCCACAAGGAAACAGAGCCTTCCAGGCATATGAAGTCACAGCAATGGTGACAAACAAGTCCCATGCAAGCTCAAGTCAGTCAAAAATCCCAATACAGTCATTAGGAAATGGATAAGAAACCCCAGCCCAACCTAAGAAACTTTTGGCAATTGATGGCTGTTGGATGTGTGGGGAGACATTTTCTTATAGGAACTGGACTATTGGTATATTGACCAGGCTTCAGCGAATGGACCCACACTGAAGGACTTTTGGGGACACAAATAGTTACTTGAATTACCTCAAATAGATATTTTAGTATTTTCTTTTTCTCTTTGGACTGCTACTATTTTGAGAAAGCTGGTAGTCAGGAATCAGGACTGGGGGGCAAACTCTGCCATTACAATACTTCTTATTTTACATGCAGTAAGACAGGCTGCCTGAAAGCAGCTCCTGGATGCTCTCTAGGGGTCTTTAAAGTCACAAGCATATTCTCTTTATTCCCTAGACCCTTAATCAGGAGATGGGACATGGCCTTCTGTTGGTGTGCTAGACCAGTAAGGAGAACTTTAAGCGACTGTGAGCCCCACAAGGGATGTTTTGTCAATGTCATACACATGCACCCAGGGCATGGATATAGACCTTGTTATACAACTTTATCATCATAAAAGGTGTGAAGCTCTGGGCCCATCAGCACATCTGAGCCTATAAAAGACAACACACAATGCCCACAACATAGTTCTCTGCCTAGGTGGACTTCGCAGCTAACCAGCCTATACTCTTGTTTGCTCAAGTGCTTCCTTTCTAAACAGTTCTATTGCTTGTTGACCTTCTGTTTCCCTCTATAAATGATTTATTGGCATGCATAAGAACCTCCATCAAAGAGGCCTGACCTCCCCTTCAACAATTTGAGACATGTTACTGTACAAAATTAAAGTCACAAGTTCCTACAGACATGATTCAATTTCTGGTGAATGATTCTCTTTCTACCCTGAAAATTAAGTAGCTATGATTAAAAGTGTTAATTAAAATATTGATTTTTGTTATTACAGATTTAGTTTAAATGTCCTTGGGTTTATTTTAACTAATCTTTAATAATTTTTTTTTCCTTTTCCCCCTTCGGGTTGACAATCCCTTTTAGAAGGATGCTACAGTGACTTTGGAATAAGAACAGACCAGAGCTGGAGACTACCTATTTGTGATTCAGGTTACCTGCCTCCTCACTTCCTGGTAATGCACTTCCACTTACAAATCTTCCTATTTTGCTAAGGAAAATTCTGCTAACATACCAAATAAAAAAGCAGCAGATAAAAAAATAAGTAAGGTAATAAACAGCAAAGTCCAACATACCACGTTTTTAAAAAAGTGTCGGTTTCCCCAGGACTAGCTGAATCCTCAGTAGTGGCTGCCAACAGCTATGGCTAAAGTGTTCTTAAAGATGTTTAAAATCTACTCCACTTCACATTGAGTGAAATCGGGAATGCCCACACAACCTGAGACAATTCCATTTGGAATCCGTCTAGCAACTGTGGGAAACTTACCGTAGCAGGTCTTTTTGTCAGAGGAAAGCTTCATCAAGTGGGGGCAGGCACATGCAGCGCTCCTATTATGATTGATCAGACACAGATGAGAGCAGGGGCCTCTGCCCGCATTGGCTGCGCAAGGATTGGGAGCTGCAATTGCAGATTAAAATAACAACAGTGAAAAGGAAGAACTTATTTCAGCCTCTGAGGTCCACATGGTCAATTCGCTTACTGATTCAAAGTTTGCCACATACAACCGTACCTAGGGCAGTTACTCTGAGAATAGACAACCGCACTGCCCCTAAATCACCGACAACATTCTCCTTTCAAAGGGAGCAGGGAGCAGCTAAGAGAATTACATTGATTTTCTCTAGAAGAATAGCCAACATCCTACTGTCTTAGATGCAAAGTCATTTTAGGAATTTGGTGAGACCATCTAGCAGGAATCATTACTGTATTTCTCATTACAAACTCTGGTAGATGCTAACATAGATATAGAGGTCTGGAGGTTTCAATGGATGTCCCTGACCTGCGTTCTACATAGATGTAGACTGCTTTCCTGTTTGAGCACAACTCTCCTACAAATGCCCCTAGGATGATACTGTTGTACTGCTGTTACAGGATCCCCCCACCCCAACAGGTGAATTTACTTCTCTGAGTAGACAGGGCTAAGACATGGCATCCAAACTGTGTCACACAGCCATATTGGAAAGGAAAGAAGTGGATAGGTCCCTCTGGCCATCTCTACACACTTCTTTCCTGAGGCACATCATAAAATCAAGGACAGAGTTTCTGATGTTTCCCTGCACTGGGTATATTACGGCCTGTAAAAGGTGGCCTCCAAATCTCCACAGGAAAAAAGCCTCCCATATCTGGAGAAGACTGGCCTCTTTAGTCCCAACCCCACTTTATTGGTCTCTCATCCTGCTCTCCCATACTTCTCTACCATGGCCTTTTCTCCCTCAAATGGAGGAAAGAAATAGGCAGGTTTTATGCATCCCTTTGGGACTTTGTTTCCTTATGATGACACCTTATAAATAAAACCTGTATCAAATGAGTTAGTATACTTCTCTTGTTAATCTGTCACTTGCTAAGTGGTTTCAACAGTGAATCTAGAATGACTAGAGAAAGATATTTTCCCTTTCCTCCAGCAGTTAGCATTAGCTCTATAATATCTATAATCACAAAGATTTTTTTAAAATCGAGGAAATAAAATTAAGACGATGATGTGAGATATTAGGATATTAGCTGAATTTAGTACTTAGTGTGGATTTGCCAGTCCATAGGACTTCCATCAAGATAATAAAAGTAATCCGTGCCTTTGCACTTGTTATCAATAAATACATATTTTAAAGGGGGAATAAAAGTTTATGAAACAAAGCATTCTACTAAGAAAATCCACCAATAACAAAAGAAAATGTTAGAAAAGAGTAAAAGCCGGGGGCCTGGGAACTCAGTGCAACCCCTTCTGTCACCCAGGGTCACCATGTATTCTGCTTGGTCTTACCCTTTAACTGTTAGAGAAGTAAGACACCAAGTGTGAAGGTGCTGGAGGAGGGGAGGTGCTGCAGATTAGGAGGCCCGGAAGGAAAGCATGTGAAAAGCACTACTACTGGAGGGTCGAGATTCTCAAACGCAGTGGGTAAAAGGAGAAAACTCACAAAGAAGGGAAGAGAATGAGGCAAAAGAGAAATAGAAAAAAGCAAGAAGAACAAAGGAGAGGTGAAGGACGGAGGGAACCACGTTTAAACGATACGTCAGTGCAGAAAAGGACTCCTCTTAGAGGAATTAGAAGCAAACTCCAGGGCTGGCGAGAGAGCTTGGGCTAAGAACACGTTACACTTGTGGAGGACCAGGGTTCAGTTCCCAGCATCCACATGGAGGTATATCACCACCTGTGACTCGAGTTCCAGGGGATCTGAGGGCCTTCTGTCCTCCAAAGGCACCAGGCATGTGTCTGGTGCACATACATACATGTAGGCATTCACTCACACAAAATAAAAATAATTAAATATTTTAAAAATAAAGCATACTCCACAACTGTCCAATGTTCAATACTGCATTTCACTTTATTTTTATCCTAGAATCATTTCAGCTATTCTTGGCATCCTATAATTACAAAATACTTTTAAAAAATGGTAAATATATTAAATTTCTATGTACATAGAAAAATATCACTGATTTTATAGCCCAGTATCTGGATTAATGATAACACTGTAATTATAATTCACAGTATTTTCTGCTTCACAGCTTGGAAAATCCACAAGAAGTTTTGCCTTTCATTTTAATCTCATCTCACTTTGAAATAATGCTGCTAAATCTTTTCAAAGTTTCTATCTGAGTAGACTTATCTATAGTGATTATTAAATTGAGGACTTTGGTTCTCAGTACTCATATTTTGACATAGGTATGGATTAATAGGTGGTGACCACAGAACCAAATTGAGTGTACTGATTGTTTTGTAAATAAACTTTTATTGGAACATAGTTGAGTACATTAATTTCATAATATCTATGGCTTCATAACACAACAAATTCATCAATTGCAGCTGACACTGCCTGTCCCACAAAACCTTCAAACATTTCTTATCTCCAAACGTTTTGTCAATCTTTGATGAATTGATTGTTTCATGGCAAACACTATTACAAAATCTAATGTCGATACAGAATTTTTGACTCACTAGATCTCATTTTTTTTGTATCCAAGACATGGGGAAAGCTGAGCACCCATGGAACGTTATGTCCAACAGGTGAAATTCAAGCACAGCAGTGCAGGCTGGATTCATGGGACAGTTTATTTTGCTTAAATTCTATGGGACTAAACCTTAGAGATATCAATGAGCGCTCTCTTCCAGTTTACACAGTGTATAACTATCCATTAAGCATCTAGTTATTCCAAATACCATGAGAACAGATGAGATATAATAACAGAGAAGATAAGGTTCTTATATCAAGTACCGTGTTTTATACTTTAACATTGGCAGAACTCTTTCCAATTCTATGGTCTCTGGCTCAGTTTAGATTCTATCTCCTACATGGACAGTTGCAGCAATCTTAGTGATATCTTAATTTCTAGTCTCCAAACTCAACAGTTACTGATATTTCTGAAATATAGTCTTAAACAGATCCGATTAGCTAGACAAGTTTAGATGGATTCTCATTGTTAACCTGACAATGTGTCAGATGTCCCTACCACGCTTGCCTCAGGACTCCTCTGACCCAGTGACAGGGTCTCCTGCTTGTCTATTCATGTTCCAGTGCTTTATTCTGAACTATTATGTTCATCTTTGTTAAAGAAGCCATCTTCCAAACAGACATCATTAACATTAACTTCAAAGCATTTTCCTCTTCTCTTTCATTGCTTTATCTGATAATTTGTTCAATGTTCTTAGAATTTTGCTAATATGTTTATTTTCCCCTTTACCTGTTTTCTTCCAATATGAATGCGGGCCACGGCCTGGGATGTGGTTATATATGGCACTGGCTAATCTATATGATCTAATCTCTTCCCAAGATTTCAGCCTGTCCTCCAGCTTCCTCTATCTCTTTTCTTGGGCTTGCATATTACCTATGGTTACCTATGTGCTCAAACGGGCTCCTTATTGCTCCCTGGATAGCCATACTTTACTGTCACACTTCCATCTGATAAGTTTTTCTTCCTCCAGAATTCATAAATGTATTCACAATAATCTTTCTCGTGATTCACCATTTCAAATCATGTGAAATGTCTTCTAGTGAAGTCAGAGCTATTGATTCTTTCCATGGTTGAATATTAGTTGAAATTATTGCTGTTAGGAGGCATTAGACAATTTATTTTCTGTTGTTTCATTGTCTATGAGTTTATCTGTTTGTTGTCCTGGGGATTGAGCCTGGGGTCTTGTGCAAGCTGACCATGCTGCTGTAGCAGGATAGCAGCCATAAAGCAGTAGGCAAAGTAAGGGTGGGGCTGGGTTAAAATAAAACATTACCTACCAAAAAAGAGAGGATGGAATTAGGGTGAGGACTGAGGTTTATCACCCTCAGCTATGTGTGATATATTGGTAGAAACTATGATTTCTATATATTTGTATATCTTTTTAAGTTTTTGTGGCACCCATGATTATATTTGCCTTAATGACATTTTAATCCATTAACTTGTATGTGGTATATGACCTAAAATGGCTGCAATTTGAGCACTGAGAAAATGAATTATGTACTCGAGTACATCAAGACTGAAGGAGAAAATACATTCAAAATTCCACAACCACAGGACTGTGCAGTGGAAGCAAATGTTAACTGTGACATTATGTAAGACTGATATGCACTCTGTGAAGAAAAGAGCATCATTAGAGAGAATTTCATATTTCATGTTAAGTGTATTTAATTATAGTCCATTTCTCATCAGCAAAAATTAAACACTTCAAAGCCAAACAATTATATTATCCAGCAAATTTTTATAAAATATATGCGAATGTTGATACAATATAAAATATGTATGGCATTTACTTAGGTAATGAAAGCTGAATGTCAGAACTGCTTTTGTTTCATGAGCAGAAGATTTTTCTCCTTTCAGTATAGTCCCTTTTGATATTCAACAACATCCATCATGTTAATATACATTATTGGTACAAAATAATTGTCAACATAGCAAGTAATTTATCTATATTAGTAATGTCCTTTAAGAAGAATGTTAAATTTTTACATTTGATATTAAAGAATTTGAGAGAGTATCTTATTTACTTTCTTTTTATTTATAAAAATGTGGATCAAACTCAAGGCCCTGCTCATTCTATCAAGCACGGTACCACTGAAATATACCCTCAGCCTAAATTTGTTCTTTAAAATACAGACATAGGGATGGGAGAGTTGTCTCAGCAGTTAGGATCACTCGCTCCTCTAGCAGAGGACCCAAGTTCAAGTCTCACATCAGGTGGCTCACAACTACCTGTGACTCCAGTTCCAGGGGATTCAATGCCCTCTGGCCTCCACAGGGACCTGCACATATGGTGCATGAAAACTCATGCTGGATATACATAGATACATACAAACAAAATTAATAATCTTTAAAATATAAAGGATTAACATAACAAAAAGTGCAAGTATTGCTTTAGCTTTTAGCACTTGCTGCTCTAGCAGAGGATCCAGGTTTCAATAATATTAAGTATGTAGCAG